TACATAAATTCTTAAATATATTTTATACATCTGAATTGCAATATGATGATTTAGTTGAAATATCAGAATTTCCTTTATTCAATTTTAAGATTAAGAGATCAATAGACTATACAATTTTTAAAAATATCGTAACAATTATTTGTACATTAGATGAATAACTCTATCTATTAACTTAAATCTTGTAAGATAACCTCATGCTTGATTTATCTAGAATAACTAAAATCTCAAATATAAATTATATTTTAGATGATTAAGCAATAGCATATGTTACAACCAAGTTTGAAGTAGAATATTTACCTTTGTATTTATACTACTTCAAATTAAATAGATAGTTTAGAAACTAATCAATTAAACAGACTTTCAATATATATATTGAATTTGTTGAAAATTAAACTTAAATTTTCGGTAATCTTACATTGAAGTTAGAAATTGATTCAAATATTCAATATTCTAAATTAATTGAAAATCATACTAAGAGTGTAGTGTATAAATTTGGTTATTTATTGTTTTGAAAGTCATGGATTTTATAATTGCTCCTATTGAAATGTAAAACTATTACATTAAAAATTAACAGAATGAATTATTAATTCCATCTTATATTATTGTATTAAATTAAAGTAATTATTGTTAGTAAATCATTACCTTTAAATATATAATGAATTTCAAAATGTTTTATATAATAGTAGACTTTAAATTTAAACTTTTAAAATCATTATTGCTTATTTTAATATCTAGAATAGATCTAATCATAATAACCGAAGTGTAAATTGATGACTACATAGAAATTTATTCTGGAATTAAAAAATAGTCACATTTTACATGAAGGGCTTAATTCATAGTTATGTTTTTTGTTTTTTTCTTAATAGGGAATAATTAAATTAGAATAAGTAGGTATTATTTTTTATCCAATTAATGAAACATTTTCTTCTATTTTTTATTAAGAGTGGTATTAATTTTAAAGATATTATAAATTAAAATATTTTCATGTTTACAATATAAAGAAAACAACTTAAGATTCAATATAACATTATTAACTGATCATCAAATAGAGCCTTCAAATGATAAAATGC